ATGTGATCTGGCATCTGTACATCTCAAGCAAGTACAATGGAAGTATGCAGGCACAGCATACAGGTTACCTTGGCAACCTGTCATGTGATGCGTACAGCCTCAAATACAGGATGACATCATGCGGCTTACAGAACACAGCCTGCAGGTTGCTAGGTTGCATAGCAACCGTTGCACAGCTTGTCAATCCGGCGGAAACCACTCAACAACTCAAATCACATCATGTAGGCTGTACCACCAGCCAAAACCCCTCATGTATTCTTCCATCTTGGCCAAATTCCCTCCTGTAAGGCTGTACAACCAGCCAAAATCCCTCATTCCTGGCTCCCCTGGAGCCAAAATACCTCATTGTTGTCTATATAAGGAGGCCCTTCCTCCCAGTTGTAATTTTCCCCAGCAGACTTCCTGCAGACATTTCCCCACATAACAGGCAAATCACTGCTCACTCCATAATATTATTTGTTCCCCAATATTTTGGTTTTACAATTATAACAACCCTTACATACAAATATTACAACATCTTTACACATAACAACAACCCATTTTTTGCACCTGTCCACCTGTTAAACAACAGAGTATCTTTTGATACACTCCACTATCACTAATTAAAAGCTGCCAATCTAAGATTGGTGGTCTTGTTTAGTGTAGTACACAGGAAAGGCAGAGGTTACCTCACACATCCCTTTCCGAACTCAGCAAAAGGTTCTCACGAACACTTTTGAGCTTAACACCGCTTCCGCTCTGCGCTCTCTTTCTTTCTTCTCCGCTCCGCGCTCTGTTTCTTATCTTTTATTTTCTCTCTCTATTCTCTCTCTTCCGCTTTTCTTTCTTCCTAATTCTTCCAATCATTCCTTCCCTATTCTATCCTCATACTCGTCTCATACATCAACCACAACTCAAGCCTCAACACCAATTCATCTCAAGACCTAACCCACAAGTCAACCGAACATCAAACGACTTAAATACTCTCGCTCCCTCGATCCTTCACTATCTCCTCAGGCAGTCTTACACTATCGCATCCGACGACAGTCATTGATCTTCGATCTCAATCCACTATCCTCAATCAGCCAAACTGCCCGGCATTCACCACTACAACCCACTCTTCAACTTCCCCTTCCGACCTCGTATCCTTTTCTCCTTTCTCATCTATCTCTTGTCTCTCTTCTCTCTCATTGAACAATCCTATCGATATCGACTCCACCTTGACTTCTACTCATATCGATCTTCACCCATTCTAATTGCTCCGACTCTCTCTCTCAAAATCGTCTCTTGGCTATTGCCAATTTGGTGAGAAAACAAAACTGATCTATTTTAACTCACTTCGATTGCATCTCTTATTGACCCAATTCATATCTTGTTCTTCTCTGAAAAAGCACGTACTATCTGTCTCTCTTTGATCTACTTTATCTCAGTCTGTCTGTTCTGATTCCTTTCAAACACAACCATCGTGGTATGCTATTTTTTTCCTTCTTTTTTGATTAACATTTCATTGTTCTCTTGTCTAATTGTTTTTTCTTGTGTGTCAAGTTTTGGTTCTAGTTTCAATTATAAAACCTGTTTTTCTTCAATTAAAAATGCACCTGTCTTAGTAAGACAAATGTTTGTTGGTGAGTTTCAATTCTCTTCTAACTATAAATATTCTACTTGACTAAGCATTACTTGGAAGGGGTACATTTGCATACAACATAGAACAACCATGCCCCGCCCACAAAATCCAAGGTGGACATGTGGGGCCTATGCCCTGGGGTCCATGACCATGTGTCCTGACACTTAATTTTATTACAATTTAGAACTCCTACAGATGTGTAGAGCTCAAAATTGTAAACACTAAGGTTTTGAGTGAGTGGTTCAATTTTTTTTTCATTTCCACATACATATAATTGGACAAACACAGATTAAGCCATACTTGAACCCATATTTATGGCTTTAAGTGATACATACTCATGGTTTTATACTACTTTTACACCCTTGCCATCTACTTTCACTGTTAATCTGCTATTCTAGTGTATTATTTCTACACTCTGGAGGCTACAAACAGCTGAAAAGGCTGAAAATTCCAAAAAAAAAAAACTGAAATTTTGACTTGACTATTTGGACATGTTTTTGCCATCCTCAACTGTAGTGAGCTGTTGGGATGCAATATAAGTAAACAGGCTGTATGATTATTTGATGAAAAACAGGAGTTATAACTGATACTAGAACCAGAATTTAAAGATAGAAAAAAAAGGGTTAGAAAAGTATTCAGAGAAAAATATAAGAGACAAGAAATTCAGTAAATGACAGTCAAAATTTACCACAGTGAGAGTTTATCTTAGACTTAGACAGAACAGAGAGACTGAAATAGACAATGTCAAATAAATACAAGTAGTAGACACTGAAGCAGGAAAGAAATACAGAAAAGGTTAATCAAGATTTTTTTTTGACAAGAGAAATTGTTGAAGGATTTTTCTCACCAAATTGGCCAAAGCCAAGTGAGAAGATCAAGAGATAGATGTGGTGAAACAAAGATGAGTGAGTGCTGAGTTGATCAGGTGGGAATGTGAAGTTGATTTTGGTTCAAATGAACAAGGAGGGATATGAGAGAGAGAATAAATAGAAGAAGAGAAGAAAAGAAATGGAGTGAAACTTAAAGTGGTATGTTTAGGGAAATGGTGGAAGATTGAGTTGAGTAGGATCAACGGTGGGCCAGCTACGCTAACCGTAGCGTTAGCAAAGCGTAGTGTAGCGTTAGCGTAGCGTAGTGTAGCAAAAAATTGCTACAATGTAGCGTAGTGTTGGTGTGTTTTTCAATTTCTGCGCTAACGCTACGTGCATGGGGGAAAACTTTGAGCTAACGTTTAGCGTAGCGTTAGCGCGATTCCCCTCATCTGCGCTAACACTACGCGCACAGGGCGCAAAAAACCGCCCGCTACGCTGCGTTACAGCCATTTTTAGCGGTTTTTAGGTGTTTTTTGCCGCTAAAACCACTGTAGCGTAGCGGCGCCAGCGGTGCGCTAACACTACACCAAAATTTGGCTAGTGTTAGCGTAGCGCAGCGCTAACACTACACAAAAAAATGGTGCCGCTACGCTAACGCTACATGGGCCTGTAGCGTAGTGTAGCGTAGCGGCCCACCACTGGTAGGATGGTGTGGGATGAGAGCCAAACAGTTTGAGGTGAAGTGGCTAATTGATCAAGAGTGGAGGACAGTGATTGTCAGAAGTGTCAGAGACTATTGAGCAGTCATTGAAGGAGAGCATCAAGCCGGTTTTTAAAGCAAAAGATCAGGGGGCCAGCTTATGGTTTGGTGGTTGACTTGTATTGAGGAATTAAGGAGATTTGTAAGAAAGGGATAGAAAGAGAGAAGACGGGCAGAGAGCGTACGAGAGAGAGAGAGAGAGAGAGAGAGAGGAAAACA